ATGCCGTTGTTGCTGTACTTAGTTTGGTCTCAACATTCTGCGTTTTTCCTGTTTTCATATTAGTGTGCTGTGCGAGTTCAGCTTCTGTTAATGCCGCTTAGTTCACCTATTGCATGCATCCCTAAGAAATGAAAGGACCTTGTTATAGAACTTGGTTTTATTGTCTACGATTGTGATACAAAATGGCTGTTGCAGAAGTTATTTCCCCAGGTAAGAAACCGAGCATTCACCCATATATCTGTAATGAAGTAAGAAATTTGAGAATTACTTCTTCACCTAAAATTCATGGTTTATTTCATCGTTTCACTGATGGAATTTTTCATTTTCTTCAATGATGAGCCATGCCTCTCATCCTTCCGGTACGTATACAGAAGTGTTATGCACCAGCCTCAGCATGTACAACCACAAACCAAATGAACATTTTACATAAGACAGTTTGCTTTTATAGTGATCACGCACTGATGTGAACATAGACTAAAAATAACAAATGTTGCTTTAATAAGGATTTTTTACAGTAGGTGTAAATATAAAAGTTTTTCAAATTATTTTCACAGGTATCACTGAACATTTCATAGCTGTCTGTTACAGAAGCACCGAAAAGTGCTTTGAGTCTTTCATTTATTATACATAGTTAAAATATATTACACTTCTGAAGGTATCTTAGATCACTCAACAGTTTTGCTAGCATCTTAATGAGCCAAATGGGAGTAAAAGGCAGTCCACATTCATGATGTGAATATACAGTAAAGTGTTTGACATCCTATCAACTCATTGCTCATGTTCTCAAAATAACCATGGTGATGAGACCTGAAAGACAAGAATGAAGAACTAAACACTTCCGTTTCACTGAATAAAGCATTTAAAATAAAGACAGTTTACCCTGTCACAGACCAGAAAATAAGGTAAAAGTGCATAAATACATGTGGAAGTGAATTTATATATACACTTCAGTATCGCTCTGAATTTTGATGTAGTCAAAATCTGTGTAAGAATGACACCGAAGTGCAGCATACCTAGTAACTGAACTTCAAAGCAGCTATAAATACTCCAAACAATTACCGATCTCGCTGCTGGTAAATCTCAACGTTGAGATTTTGATTTAGGCAAGTGTAACACTAGCACACAAGCCACCGGTTGTCCTGGGGGCTAATTACGGGCAGCGTAATTCAAATGCTGAATCATCAGTAAGGCAGATTAGCTCAGGGCTCGAAGACATTTTTGTTTCTGCTCTGTGCAGAATAACTGATCAAAGACTAGTTTTGGACAAAGATGTTAAGCTTCCTTGTCAGTCTGCGCAGGGAGCTTTCTACAGACTCTTTGTTGTGACCTTTAAAGAGGGAGGGGAAAAAGAACTGCTCTGAGAGAGGTTAAAAACAATTAAAAACAGATGAAAGCAGGAAATGTGGCGCTAATAAACCTACTCATGACACACTGAAAAGTTCACTTTAATTATGTGCAGATACCAGTAAAAGTACAAATCTGCAGTTCTTAGCCATGAGTTACACTGCACGAGGCAGAGAGGCATATGGAAAAACATTAGGGCTCCTTGAATTCCCACCTTACCTAACATCAAAACAGTAATTTATCAGTTCTTAGGTAATCTTACTTTCTTGCAGGCTCATATGTTAATATAATAGCCTTTTACTGCAGAGAGTCTACAGATCTCACCATGGATAAAGACATTTCTGAGACTATTTTACTATCCTGCCACTAAATACTGATTTAACTTATTTACTTTATAAAGATTTTGAAGATAGAAGCATGACAGAACAGAGTTGTAATGCTGCTTTGCAATAAATAAGCAATTTATCCACTGGAGAGGAATTATAGTTCAGCTGTTTCTTAAGGTCTGTATTAGCTTAGACAATCAGTACTACCAGAACTGCTGTGGGCCTTAGCTTGGATTATCTAAATCATCGCAGAGTAGTAACAGAGGCTTCTGGAAGGTGCTACAGGACAGCCTATACTGCTCGTACAGGGACTTCCACAGAACAGTTTAACTCACTTCTGTAAAGCAAATACTTCTCAAATGTCGTGCAGCCCAGCTGGTGTGGTATTAACCTCCCTTTTCAACCAAATGCTACGCAATCCAGTTGTACTTTGTTGTGGAAGAAAGTGGTTTCATCTCCTCAAGGGCAATCAACTCTCTAGATGGGCAAGGGTTGCATACAGAAGAATCTTTTCATGAACACTAAAAACGCTGCTACCAAAGGAATCAAAGCCTGTGAGGATTTCACAGCGAACCTAGCAACAGGTAAGTTGTTGCAAATGTATGAAGGCAAATGGTTTAATACTATAGCTGCACCAGCAGACACTGGAGTAATTTTTGAAAGCAGAGATAAAAATAAAGCAAGGATTACTGCAAGGTCCGGATCTGAAAATACATCACCATCAGCTCAGACAAAGATGTAGGCTTCTGGTTAGCAACAAGGGAGTTTTCAAGCCATTTCAGCAGCCTGCCTTGCATGAGTCAGTCAGTCAACCGAGTGTGCACATTAACCCTCAAGAACTTGCATCTTTCCCCATCGCTACCTCACCTCTAGCTATCAGTTTGAAGCTGCCTAGCTCGTTTCCTTTAAATCCTCATTTCTGCCAGGTAGTGGGACAGGAGAATTGAGTTTAGAGTGACTGTTCTTCAAATCTGAAATAGTTATACAAAAATAGTCATAACAAATGAAATGTGCAACTTATCTATGCTTGCTAATTTAGGAGCAAGTTACAAATCAGGAAGAATTGTGGATGGTAGCGGTCTCTTAGGAAGGGTTTACAACAACTTATTTCTATGCATTTCAGCTGCTTATCAACAAGGCAGTGAATGGAGCCTTTCAGACCAGCTCATCTGGGCTGGAGAAATAAAATAACAGAAGAGATTCTAGGTTCTGCAGTAGAGTAACTCTTATTTCGATATAAGAGTGAGAAACAGCACACTCCAGTCACTTGTGTTGGCAGAGGACTACAGTTGGCCAGTCATCAAATGAAGGTGAAATTAACATGTAGGGGCCTGTATATAATAAATATCGACTACAATCTGGTCTAAAATACTTGCAGTAACTAATTTACACTGATATCCCTATGACTAAAAGTGGAGATGCAAAACAAAATGTAGTGTGGTGCTTTGTCTCCATCAAGTTTCCTGAAGCCACTGGCAAACACAGGAGAAGTTTCCCAAATCACAGAAGTTGCAAGACAACATTTACAAAATCCACAATACTTACCTAAAACATAAGCAGCTACTAACTTTTGATTCACACTTAAGTGGAGGTAGAGAGGCACCAGGGATTCCATTTCCCCCAACGTAGGTAGCATTAGTGCTGCGATACACACTATTCCTAGGAAGACTGTTAGTAAACTAGGTCCCGACGAGGCAGTTCTGTTTTCTGAAAAACAAGATGGCACCGGTTGTAAGGAATACCTACCCAATATGAATGTTAAATACTCTGCAAAAATGTCTGCGGTACATTGGAGCTGCAATACCCTGAGAGTTTCTTTTCCCTTTGGAGGGGGTGGAAAACAACTCTTAAACCCCCCCCCCCCCCACCCCCATCCTCAGTCTTGGTCCA